GTTGTTGGGGGGGGGGGGGGGGCGGACACCAAGAAATGGGGACAATGTAGCCACCGTGCGCCCGGCATACAAAACAAAGCAATAAAAAAAAGTGCGCACCGCGAGGGATGACGATGCACTTGATCAACCCCATCGCAACACGACTATATACATTGTATCAAGACACGGAAGTCTCCGAAAACATTTGGACGTATTTCATGTCCTTCCCGCGGAGGATCGGTGCGACGGTTTTGTCCTCCGCGGTTGTGTAGAATTTTTGTTCCAATGTCATGGAATATGCACATAAAAGGTTTGGCGGCCTCGCACAGGGGGCTTCACCAGCCGGCGGCAAACTTGCACGTGTTGGACCAACCATCAATCGACGAAAATGTCCAACATAGCGAGAACGTTGTCCCTAGTTGGACGTAAATATACCACAACGACAACATCATCAACAGTTTGAGCTAATTAACTATGAATACGGGTCAAGATCGTTGAAAACATGTTCAGGGTGGGCTCATGGTCCATGTCGTTCGCTATTTAGCTTGTCTTTACGTCTCGCTGTTTCTCGGACTGCTGTGTGCCTGCCAGTATCTCTCGAACATCTCTCGAACTACAGACCTGGTACCTGTTGTAAGTCTCCCTGTGTTCGCCTCTTCAGCAGCGACGGTTTCGTGTCGGTTCGACGGGCTATTCGCCTTCCCTACAGTGTGCCTAACGAGGCCTCTCTCTCTCTCTCTCTCTCTCTCTCTCTCTCTCTCTCTCTCTCTCTCTCTCTCTCTCTCTTTTGTCCCACACAAACCAGCTGTACCGGGGTGACAAAACGCACGAACACCCTCCCCCTTCACCTATCACGGCCGTGCTCCGTCCAGGTCTCATCCCCCTCGGGCTTTTTCAGCAGCAGGTCGAGGCTGGCTATCAGGTTGAGAACGTCGTCGGGGGAACGCACGAGCGACAGCCGATAGTACAGCCTGTCGGCAACGCTCCGGCCAAACCTGCTCCGAGAAAACGCCCGCCTGATCTCAAGCTGCACCTGATCTGTGATTGGTCCGCCACCCGCGTGCGTGTCGATGCGGCGCGGCGTATGTTCATGCCGCAAAGCGAGCAAGACGGGGGCGTCACGGAGATGAAAGCGAGAGACTAGAGAGGACCGCGAGCGAGCCTACTGAGTGACATCGATGCCCGCAGCGAAAGTAACACGACAACATCTGTACGCATACTTAACATCATGCAACCGTTTATATCACAGGTTGCAACGGTCCTCGCCACATGCGCCGCGATCTGCAACTTAACTTACGAGCAAGCGTTTGCCAGCCAAGCCGACAGAGTGCCCTTGAGGTTTGACAACGCGATGGGGGCCGGGGGATTCCTGGGAACCCCCTTTTACCCTTGTTTTCTCCCTCTGCGGTTCATTGTGTTCGCCACGCGCATCCTTCTGGCACGCACGAGAGACCAAAACAACCAGTAGCCTACACGGGGTTTTCGTTGAATAAACGTATTGGATGAAGTATAGAATCAGTGGGACTCCGGGGGCTACGGTCAGGGTCTTCGTAGCCCTTGCCTCTCTATTTCCTATGCACGCTTTATTTCGTCGAGTATCGGCAGTCAAAAACCACCATGCTCAATGGTAGCCCCTTCATGTTGGGCTGTTGGGTGTTCGCTCTGTCTCACTCACATAGGCCCTTGTCCTCGGCCTTCGCTATGGCCTCCAGCTGATCCGCGATGACGGTGGAAAGGAGTCGGTACTGCACGGGGTCGGGCGGCGGCCCGAGAGGCTCCTCGGGCACGTCCTGCCAAGCGAGACCAGCCAAACATGAACACAAAACTCTTCAAGATGGATGGGGCTGTCCACAAGGCGATCACGCGTCTTCTCGTTGAAGGAACACTGTCAGCAGCAAGCAAAATAAAAAAACTCACCAGGGTATTTGTTGCAACAGCGTACATCAGGGGAGACAGGCAGCAGGAGTAGGCCTCGTCGCGAGAGAGAGATTGGCCAACAAAAAATTACTCGACGATAATTCAAAACGAGTAGGGTCGCTCATGCCTTCATCAGGTACCAGGTAGGTGTCGTTACTATAATCACCGAAATATTCATGTTACTATTGTGTCGTTTTGCTACTCCGCTGGAATCGGCCTATGACGCCGCGCCTACGATAGCAGTGGCGTCCTGTTTCCGTCGGCACACTGCCGCATGCACTGGCTACTGACTAGTGTATCGCAGCGCTGACTCCCTTTGCTGTCAATGCCGTGGTTGGGGCTACGGTAACAGAGGTCGCGACCTCGCTAAGTTCGAGCTGGTCACGAGCACCCAACAAACGAGCATCAACGCAGGATGCGACGATCACGCACCTACCTCTGCGCAGGATGAGTTGGGGCGACATGAACAACGTACATGTAGGGCCCACTGCAGCAATACAGAAGAGCAACATACTAGCCTTTGGGAGAGCGTCTGCTGTGCATCTAGTCAAGTTTGCGTATAGGCTGACCCGCGTTGTATGCTCATACCGCTTGTTGCGGACACCTATGGTGTGTCGTGCATTGTTCACAGGCTCAGCACGCATTGTCCCACGAGCTGCAGCATTATTGGAGTGGCACACACGTCCATCTGCTTCTTCCACACGTTCAGCGCAGTGCGCAGATATCAGGTACTGCTGTGTCTGATGCCGCTCTCCGGCTACACTGCGCTGAGAGTCAGCGCGCAACAAAGGCTACGCAAGATACCACACCCCCTGGAAATATGTTCAAAGAAAGGTCGCTTGCTCCACAGCACACACAGTGGTGGTGCCGAAAATTACGGCGTTGGGCACTGCTGTCTGGCCGAGGGCTTTCCGAACATGCTTCGTTCGACATAATGTCCTCTTCGTCGTGGAGTACTCGAGCGTTTCAAATCGTTCCAGGGGGTGTGGTGTCTTACGTCACTTGCTGTAATTCGAAAGCGTGCGGGCGTACACACACCAACACCGACTTGTAAATAGTCTAACAGGAAAATCCTCAGCGAAGGAATACGCGTGTGGACAACCATACTTATACGGGAACAAGTGCGGTACGGTGGTGGTCGAGCAGTACTGCTGTATGGTGGCATGCGGTTTGGACGGTGTAGAGAACACGGCAATTTGAATTTTACAAATACTGCTGTACTGCTGCAGGGGAAGGACGTGAGACCGCACCTGGTCCGATGCAGGGCTGTCCTCTCTCCCGACGAAGATTGCAATCAGAATTCCGACCGACACCGCATAGGGCGAGCACCCCTCGTTTGGACTCATCGCTGGGACGAGAGAGTGACCCGTGCAACGACGCGGAGAGCTTGCTCGAATCACCAGCGTGTGTCTGGTGTGTCACCAGCACACACACCTGGAGCAGATATTAGGTGGGTGGGTAGTTACACTCTTGGTTGCGTGCCCCCCCAGTCGAGTTCTTCATCCGTTGCAATCACACGCAAGACGTCACCAGGTCCGCACACAAGGCCGAGCCCAGCCAGCAGGGGGCCACTCACACACGCACCACAAGGTTTAAGAGTCTAGAGGCTTAATCAGCCGCAGGTTCAACAGCTGCTGCACACGACGGAGGGGGGGGGGGGTAGAAAAAGTGTGCGTCGCGGCGTCCGGCGCTTGCTACTGCTGTTCCAACTAGACCATGCCTGCGTGGAGGCATGCCCTCGCGGCAGGAAGCATAGTGGTGCTTGTCTCGGCAGAGGCGGCAGCTCGGCCAACAGCAGGAGGATCTGGTCGGAATAGGGCCGGTGGCGGGAAGCCCGAGCTTGTAGAGCCGTGGGGAGATGCTGGTGGAGGCGTGCTTCGGTCAGGTGAGCGGCGGTCGTGACATGACGGTTGAGAGCTGTTTTAGGATTTTCTGAAAGATGGGATATCCGTTGTGAGATGACGGAGAGAGAGAGAATCAAACCTGAGAGGCGCAGTAGAGTCATAGAGCTGTTACCCCTAAAAAGCGATGCCCGAAAAATAGGGTTCTTACGACTAATAACGGAACACACTTTGTGCTGCTGCCCGAGCTATCGTGGGCTTGCAGTAGCACGCATCGCGTGTCCTCTCTGCCGTTTGCTGTTTGCTCCGTCCCGGAAAAGTGTGCTTCTCTTGTGCATTTTATCGTGTTTTCTTCTCCTGTGTATGCAATTATGCTGCGTTCCTCTTCGAACACATATGTCAAACACTTGACAAGAGATAAGAAGACGAAGACGAAAAAACACAAGGGCAGGAGTACGCACCCCGCCAAAAAACCTCCGCCATCTGCTGTGTTGGTTTTGGTCGTCCCTTAATTTCTTTCTGGGGGACCGCAGTGCTACTAACTATCGTTGTCCGCCTCCCGAAAAGCAGCCGTTGCCAGGGAGTGCGCTCCTATGCTAAGCACATGACATTGTGTGTGCAACTTCCCGGGTCCCTCCCGCGCCATTTCAAAATTCAATTTGGCTACAATACAACATAGAGAGACGTACGGTTTTTCGGTTGTACGTTTTCGATTTTCAAAACGAAACAAATAATTCAACCTCATTTGGAGGTGGTTGACCATTCCAATGGGTCGTCGGTGGCTCCTGCGGAGATGAAAACCCTTCTCCGAACCGGATCCGTGGCGGCTTCTGCTTCCATCCCATGAAATGCCCCATTGTCGTACATGTGGCAGTAAAACGGAAGTACCTTCACATTACGGGGACCCTTTGGGGTTAACGCTTACCATTATCATATGTAGTCTTCCCTATTGTATGCTAGAGAGTGGACGTCATTGCGCCCAGGTCGTAAGCAGCCGTTTGGGGAGGTCGACACCAGATAACATAGTTTCAGGAAGCGTTCCTCGGTCCCCATTTGTTGACCGTTTTGGTCAGGGCGGTGGACGATTGCGACAAGGAGGCACGCAGAGCACACGCAGCACACGCGACTGGAATCGTAGTCCATCTAGTCTACCTGCTGAATGTTTTTGTACTTACCACCAGCTGGCATCACTGCTATATATCATGAATAGACTTAAGAAGACTCGAAATACCCAGCCGGTTTCCCTCCACTCACTGAAAAGACTCCACCACATCCCGTTCGACTGTGGGTATGTCTCGAATGGGTAGTCTTCCTGTGTGTGTTTTTATTATTGCTTAATTCAAAGTCTTGCGTGTGAGAGGACAGCAGCGCATCCTACAGTAGTTACCCTCCGGAAAATTCCATAACAAGTCCCCAATGCGTTCGTGCGTTCTATTTACTATGCATACAAAGGGGCCTGGCGGCGGCCTGGCGGACGGATCAACCACCCTGCCAACGGTTGGTTATTTTTGTTGACCACCCCGCCAACGGTTGGTTATTGTTGAACGGTTCCGCACCACACTTGCACACAGCAGTAAGGGCCGGTCTTAACGAAGGAATCGGTTCTCGATTTCGAATTTGATTATAAGAATACAAGAGTCGGATCTACCCAAATCTGGACAGAAATGACCTGTGTGTCTTAACGGGAGATCTGCCAAATGGAAATGAATCTCTGCAGTCCACCACGAACAACCCGAGAGGTCCGCCGCTTGCCAACTGCCAGATTGCTGTTGTGACGTACTGCTGTGACGTGGCCACACCACATGGGGAGCTATCGCTCCCGAGAAGCACACACCAAACGCGTACATGACCTCTGTGCGGTACTGACACGATGTCTATGCATGTGACACTTTGAATCGACCCTCGTTCGACGGAAAGCCGCCAATTCGTCTGTGCATTTGAAGTTCGACAACCGACGGTTCTGGTCACGCCCCCCGCCTTGCGAATAGGACATTCTTCCTCTATTGCTCTTGCGCAACAAGGTGCCCCACCGTGGGTGTGCCTGTGCGCACTCCGTGCTGGATTGGTGTCGCGGCTTGGTGTGGCGCCTTGCCACGGCACTACTTTCTGTGCGTCAGTGCGTCACTTTCCGTCGACTGGACCGCTAATGTTCGAAGTTGGTTTCGTTTCACCCAAATCGGGATCCGATTAAATCATTTTACCTTTATTTTGATTCCCGATTTGGAGAGGGGGGATCCGATTATAAGTCCTAAAGATTCCACGGGTTCCAGAACTTTTAGCCAATCAACAAGAGAGTTCTTTGGATCTTGTGGTCTTATAATCAAATCGGGAAGTGAAATCGGGAACCGATTCCTTCGTTAAGACCGGCCCTAAGCAGCTGCTGCGCTACCCGTACTTGTACACACAGCTTTTTTTTTTTTCTTAATATGTATGACACAACGAATCCATCTCTATCATACACAACGAATCCATCTCTATCATAGAAAAGAGTCTGAGACAGATTAGCAATGAATTCATAGCGTCAGAAAGTACCTGTATGTCTACGATTTCCCAGACAGCATATAGGGACATCTCCCCTGCGGGTAACAGGCTCAACAAGACAGTTTGGTAGCTGTCTTATGTGTCTCGTATATGTTATGTTGGGAAGGTGCAGAAGAAATGTGTTAGGTACTGGTCGGGCATTTTGTGTGTGGCATCCTTTTAGTCGTATGGCATACAATCTCCCTCAGTTTTCAAACGTATTTTCAGTGTGGTACGCGTATGTATGTACCGGGTATGTACCGGGTATGTATATGTGCGGACACATTTCGGAGTATGTGCGGACACACGGGAGTGGTCTCACCATTTTCTTACCGTTTTGTGTACAGCTTTGCAATTTGTGTCCGGCGTAGCGCTGGAGTACCACATACCACATACCTTGCCACGGTGCACGCATGGGGCGGACTTGAATAGGCCGAGGCAGAGAACGCTTCGAGCAGCAAGAAGACGACCGATCAATGAAATCTGTCGATCATCCTTCCGGCCTTGCTTGTTCTACCGCACCGTGTATAATAGTATGGAGTGTATTCTTCCAAGCACCTGGCAACAGAGGGACCGCTTGTCCACTCGCCGCAGATGATGTGCATGGCCTCGGCCAGCAGCAAGTTGTACAAACAAATACGAGCAGGACACACACGCACCCCCTTCCCCGTCGCCGGAAGGTAGACTGTTTGCGTTGCTTGTGAGCCCTCTTCAAGATTGACGTCTTCTCATTGACCAGCGGTCGATGACAATTAATTCAAGAAACACGCACCCACACACACAAGGGATCGGAGCATTGAACTGAAGCTTGATGAGCCCCATGGAGCGGATAATTTTTTCGCAACGAGATAAGTCCACTGCAGGACAATGACGATGCTATGCAAGCAAGCACTCGGACAGATACCGCAGCGGGTTGCAACACAGGTAGTATGCTGTACTGAGTCCTCTCCTATTTTCCGAGTAATTTGCAGGCGGAACCTGGACCCTGTACAATGTCCGCGCCTCACGCCCCCGCAGGGGGAGCACGATGGCTATACTAAAAACAATTACTTGCTGAACGTATGCATGCAACGCATTTACTTTGTACAATCACAGCGAAGGACTTGTACCCGTTCGGGACATAGTGCCCTTATCGTTGTTTATCCCCTATCAAATACGAAGTACTAAATAATTTTCGTTTTATCAGTCGGCTTCAATAGCGGTCGGCGTGTTCAACACACAATGACGCTAGGTGCCCAAAATTTAGCGTTCCATTGTTTTACCTCCGAGAAAAAGCATTGGCTTGGCCTTTGCCCCATAAGTTCCAGCCATTTAACCTAAATAATCAATAATCGCCAGCCGTTGGCTTATTTTCAGATTTTTCAGCGAGAAACGAGTCCGTGTGACCTGGTAGGCCATGTGTTGTGAAAACCGTTTGGGAGTGCTGTGAAGCTGTACGATATGCTGCGCCATCTACAACAAGCCCCAGAAAGCTGCCTGTTCTTTTTTTCATCAGCAAGGACTCACCCTTCGCTACTGCACCTCGCGCTTGCCGTAAAAAAAACACTTCAGGGTGGGGGGGGTCGAGGTCCCCGGCAGATAGCAGCGTGCCCGCGGGACTGTTCATCCGCGCCATGACGTCGCTCCCTGGTCACTACCAAGACGACCACGAGGCTCTGGAGGCCCACCTTAGAGAGGAACACGCCATCTTCGCCGCCTCGGAAACCCCGGACGACGCCAGAAGCGGCGGCGGCGGCGGCGGCGGCCGGCGGCGGGCGCACCTGTGCTGCACGGACTACCGCGACGGGCCTGCCCTCAAGTCGGCGCTCGAGGCCGCCACGGGCGGCAAGAGGTTCGTCCGCACGGCCCTCAACAGCAACTCGCTCGGCGGCTACTGCGCCGTGGCGCACGTCTCGTCGTCGGCAGCGGCGGAGGCGGCGGCGGCAGCGGCAGAGACCGTGCGGTGTTCCCCGGTGACCCACGCCTCGAAGGAGCCGCTGTCGCTCCTAGCGCCGTCAACGGCCACGGAGTCATCTTCTTCTCACGGCGGCGGCGGCGGCGGCAGCGGGAGGACCCCGCTTTTCGGGTTGAGGCTTGGGCCGGGCGTGCAGGACGGGGACAGCCGCGGCTTGGTGATAACCATGTCCCCCGGCAGCCTCCCCATGGACGACGCGGCAGAGGACGTCGCGAAGGGAAACACCCGCGGCGGCGACGAAGCAGGGGCCGGCAGCATGCGGCGGAACCTCTCCACCCGGCAACAGTCCTCTTCTTTGGCCGCGCTGGAGAGAACGTGGAGGGACTTCTGGGGCGGCGCTCGCGGGAGCGACGGCGCGCGGGCGCTGGCGGAGACTGTCCCTTGGACCATCCCTCCCGGTGGCGGCAGCGGCGGCGGCGGCGGCGGTGGTGGTACGCGTAGGAGGAGCTTGCTTGCCGGAGACGGGACCGGCGATGCCTCGGAGCCGAGCAGCGGCGTTAGAGTCAGCCGTGCGAGGGAGTTCCATGGGGGGAAGGCGGCGGGCTACGGGGCCGCGCTCGCGCACCTCGGGGAGAAGATGGCGAAGCGTGATGATGATGAGGAGGAGGAGGGAGGAGTTGGAGTGACCCTTGCAGGAGTGTGCGGGCTGGGGAACAACCTGGAGTTCGTGCACGGCGGCAATGACTTGCTGTACCTGAGGTGTGACACGTGGGGGCGTACTCATGTTTTGCATGCCTTGGTTGTTCGACCATGGGGGGGGGTCGGGTGTGATGCATCCGATAGTTGGGATTGTTGGATTGTGGTTCCTTTCACCGAGGCGTTTTTCACCGGGAATAGGTAGGACTTGTCCTATCTCTCGTCCTCGTAGGAGGTGCTCGGTGCACAGGCTCTTGATCGGGAAAGTCCTCGTGTCCGTGGGCAGCGAGTCGAGTTAGGATAATGTATTGTTTTGTTTTCCCTCGTTGTGTCGACTAACCGATGATAGACTGCGGCCGTGCACCAGCCACATCGATGCCTGTCCCTCCCCACCATGGAGAAACCGGGATTATTCTGTAGCATGCTACCCGGGTTTAGCGTGTGTTTCAGTACGATGTCGAAAAGGCGCGTTAACAGTTTGGCATCTTGTTCCGGCTCCCACGATGCAGCCATGCTTCTGAGAACTTTCCGCACGGATGGCCTCATGCGTTCTTCTTCGAAGCTTGTTATTTTTCATTGTCCGATCCGGGCTGTATGTCGTGCGTCTATGGCTGGCACCGATGACCCTCACATCCCCCCCCCCGCTCCGAATCCAGGGGCATCCACCACCCGGAGCACGACGAGGAAACCTCTGCGGCGTGCTTCATCGGCCTGGTCGGCTTCCTCTCTGCACAGGTATGTGCTGTACAGATAGTTGGTCCCCGCGCTGACCCTTACGTGGCGGAGTTAATTTGGCTTTTGTTACTGGCCGCCTCCTCGAGAACCGGTTCTTGGAAGACAACGCCGCCCCCGTGGCATGTCGTTCCGTCCCGGCATCGTAGGGATGGGAGGTCAGGGAGGACGGCATGCGCTTACATGAATACCCCCCCCCCCCCCTTTGCAGCCCGAGGTGATGCACATCCACCCGGAACCGAGAGCGGAAGCGAATAACAAGGTCCTGACGGCCTACATTGAGGGCGGCGAGCCCACAGAGACTCCCATGCGCGTGGCCGGCCTCACGGGAGCGGGGCAAGTGATCGGCGTCACCGACACGGGCCTTGACGACAGCTCTTGCTTTTTCAAGGACGAGGAAGGCTCGGTCCCTAGGTGAGACCGGTGGTGCTGGTCATTGCACGAAGGGGGTGGTGTGATGAAATAAAGAGAGGCGACGGCGGTGTTTGATATGCCTGTGATATCGTTGGCGGAGTCTTGTCGATGCTGTCTGTTTTCATGATGGTATGGTACTAGAATCAAATATTTTGACGTCCTTACGCCGTTTCGCCGATTCTTGAAGTGATGTGCTGTACGCGACCGTTCCGCGTTTCCCCTTTCCACAACCACTGAAAAACCTACCCTTTCGATACAATAATACCCCTATCCAGAGGCTTCTTTTTTCTCTTTACAACAGCGAAACTCATCCGTGTCTCTTTTGTGTTCATTTCCCCAGGACAACCATGGCGCTCGCCGAGTACTACCCCGACCAAAGGAAGGTCATCCAGTACGTGGTGTTCGCCGACGACACCGACACCGACGGCCACGGCACACACGTCGCCGGGATCGCCGCCGGAAAGGTAGGGATGCGGTACGGTAATACGGTATGGTAATACGGTATAATAGTATTAGTAGGACTTGTGGTCCTCACGGTATGGTCCCGTTACTTTAATATCGCGGTCGCGAGGAGGGCGCGAGGAAGGGCGCCGACGGTATCGTGTGTGGCGGTACGGGGACGGTGTGTGGTGCGCGTTATGGCTGCGGCAGAGCTGGGGTAGGGATGCGATGGGTAAGGGGACGGTCACGTTTACGGTACAAGTACTGCGTTGTTGGGCAGCCTCGGGAAACCCATGAGTTTTTGTTTTCATTTTTTTTTTCGCGGCGCCGACAAGAACGACGGGGGTCAAAGCGCTCAAAAGCACTCGCTTTTTTTTTTTTAATTTCACGTGTAGAGGACTGCGAACTGCTGTGCCGGTAGCGTTCTGTGTGTGTTTTGTTGCTGTCCACCCTGTGGGTACGCACCAATATTTTTCGCTCTTGACAGAAAACACCATGTACTAAATAAGATTCACCACATGCTTGTCAAGACATAACTTCTTTTTTCGACCTTTGCTTTTTTTGCTCTTGGATTACCCTATCGTCTCCACCATCTCACCACCTCAGCACCCGTTGGTGTACGACCATCGCGCCGTTCGGTTTCTTTGTTTCTTAAAAGGTGTATGACGACTGGGAAGAGGCTTGGGTGGGAGACGTCTCGAAGGAGGTGTGCGACGATGCTGGTCTCATCATGTCTTGCTTCGGTGACTGCGTCGCGGGGACGATGGGGGGGTCGTGTCACTGGAATCCCGAGCTGTCGTGCCCCATGTCTGACTGCGACGAAGACGTGGTGAGTCTTCTTGTTTGTCTGTCTCGGAGTGAGGGGGGGCGGGGGGGGGGGGTCGGTGGCGCCCACGGGGCCCCGGCACTGTTGTTGGCTCTATGGGATCAAGTTTTGAGGAGAAAATGTGTTTTCAGAGCTCGCTGGAGGTGTTTGCGGTCCAGCGGGCGCGACGAGCGAGACTAGGTGGTGTCCGTCGGTATGATGTAGCAACAGATGCCTGCTGCTGCTGCTGTTGCGTTCAAATGACACCAGTCGGACCTAAAACGCATGTGTAAAACGAGGCAAAGGTTGCAGAAACTTGTGGGTTGCAACGCCGATGTGCTGCACACATGTGTAGGCCTGTCCTATATTGTTCGGTGATTGTCGGAAGCCACCGCATGGTGTGTCTGGCGGCTACTGTAGCATCCTCGAAGCTCGTACAACGTGGGTTCTCCGTATCATCATCCGGCTGGATTGTTTTTTCTTGTTTTCGTAACGCCCGAATCTACTTCTTTGTGTTCTTTCTTTTCCCGGTACTGCACCACCCGGCAGAGCTGCGACGACTACACCCAGTACGACTTCCCGTGCTTCGAAGACCCAGTGGACGAGCTGCCGGAGGCATCGGGAGTTGCGTCCGACGCTCAGTTGGCGTTCTTCGACATGTGAGGAGCGTGCGGCGGTCGCCGCAAGGGTTGGGGGGGGGGGGGGGGGGGAACGGGGGCCTGCCCCTTCTTTGTTGGGCCGCGTTGATTCCCGGGCAAACAAGGAGTCTTCGGTTGGAGCGGTAATGGGCCCCACCAAAAACCTATTTTTTGTCCCTGAGGGGGGGGGTTACCCCAGCGGGTTTGGGCGATCTATGTGATGCCTCCCATCGGCGCTTCCCCTGTATGTGATTGGGGGCCTATGTGTGTGGGATTCGAAATCCCTTTCAAGCGGCCCAACAGCTAAAAAATCCTCTGTGTTTACCCCCTTTCCCCATTGGATCTTTGCCCCCCCCGGGGAGCTACTGGTGGGGGGGGAAAACCTTTTTTTTCCCTTCAATGCCTTGACGAAAATTGGGTGTCTTGG